CGCTGCCAGTGGCCGAGAATCGGCCAATATGATATGATCTGGCGATCGCAACGCCGCCGATCGCTCCAGGTTGAGCGACCCACACGGTGTCAGAAACCACACACGGCGCTGGGGTCGTCACGACGCGAACCTGCCGCAGGGGGGGAGCCGCGATCGACTCGACTGTGCAGGCCGCTCGGCCGATCATTGGACGGCCGTACTCCTGGGAGGGCCGCGCGGCCGCGGCCCTCCGAAGGCCGCGCGGCCCCCCGCGCGCACGGCCGTCCTCCCTCCTCCTCCTCCTCCTCCTCCTCCTCCTCCTCCTCCTCCTCCTCCTCCCTCCTCCTCCTCCTCCTCCTCTCCTCTTCTCTCCTCCTCTCCTCCTTCCTCGTCCTCCTCCTCCTCTTGTCCTCCTCCTCCTCCTCCTCCCTCCTCTCCCCCCTCCCCCTCCCCCTCCTCTCCTCCTCCTCCTCTCTTCCCCCTTCTCTCCTCCTCCTCCTCCTCCTCCTCCTCCTCCTCCTCCTCCTTGTCCTCCTCCTCCTCCTCCTTGTCCTCCTCCTCCTCCTCGTCCATTCCTCCTCCGCATGAGAAGCTCTTCCCTGTCGCGCTCCAAGGTTAGTCGAAACGGCGGGCCAGGCGTTCCGCCTGAGACGTCCCCACCATCTATGATCCTGAAGGTTTCACGGATGGCGGGCGGGTCGTTTTCAAAATGTGGTTCTCGCTTTAGCGCCGCGCACATTCTTTTTAAAAGTTTGCAGAAACTTCACGGACGGAGGCTGGTGCGTTTTCAAGAGGTGGTTCTCGCTTTAGCGCCGCACGCATTCGGCCTAAGAGCCTGCTGCATATTCAAGGATTATTACGGTCCCCCCCCCCAAGAAACGACGTTCTGGCACGATGTCGGAATGTCCAGGCTTAACAATCACGTTGATTCGCGTTGTTGAAGTCTCATTGTTCTGGCGCGATTCAGGACGATCAAGACGCAACAGTAACGGTGATTCGCGGCGTCGAAGGCCCAAGGATGGTGTTATGGTACAGTTCTGGATGTTCAAACGGCTGCCTTCCAACGTGGCATTTCTCTCAGTGAGAATAAATCCTTGTAGGGGCTTCTGAAGAAGGAGCTTGAAGTGACGACGTCTTGCAGTATCGTTGGTGAGTCGTGGGTTCACACTGGTCCTCCTCGTCCACCTCTTCCTCCTCCTTATCCTCCTTCTCGTCCTCTTCCTCCTCCTCCTCCTCGTCCTCCTCCTCCCTCCTCCTCCTCCTCCTCCTCCTCCTCCTCCTCCTCCTCCCGCCTCCCTCCTCCCCTCCTCCTCCTCCTCCTTGTCCTCCTCCTCCTCCTCCTCCTCCTCCTCCTTGTCCTCCTCCTCCTCCTCCTCCTCCTCATCATCCTCCTCCTCCTCAGCCTCCTCGTGGTGCCCCCCCCCCCACACGTCCCTGGAGGAGTTCTACCAGCTGGCGGACGGGGACGCCGCTGGCGGGGCCGCCGTGGGCCTGGGGGCGGCCACGCCGCCCGAGCCGTCCCGCGCGGCCGCGCCGCCCGCGCGCAGGACCCCGCCCGAGTGGCGCGTCCAGGGGGTCCCTGGGGCCACGGATCTGGGGGGTCCAGAGGGTCCTCCTCCCCCTCCTCCTCCTGCTCCTCCTCCTTATCCTCCTGCTCCTCCTCCTCTTCCTCCTCCTCCTTCCTCCTCCTCCTCCTCCTCCTCTCCTCCTCCTCCTTCCTCCTCTCCTCCTCCTCCTCCCCCTCCTCCTCCTCCTCCTCCTCCTCCTCCTCCTCCTCTCCTCCAGCCTCATCCTCATCCTCATCCTGTCCTCCTCCTTCTCCTCCTCCTGCTCCTCCTCCTCCTCCTCCTCCTCCTCCTCCTCCTCCTCCTCCCCCCTTCCCTCCTCCGCCCGCAGCCGCCGCCCTTGCTCTCCTCACATCGGATCTGGGGTCGGCACGATCGAAATGGGTACGGAATGAATGGGTACAATGCACAACAGCAGTTCCTGTTCATATTGGACAGGACTCGCTGTCCGCGCCGCCGCGGCCTGTGCCCATTTGAAACAGAAGGCCGCCTGCCCAACAGCGGCCGCTGTTGGTTTGCGACAACATTTGTTGTTGGGCATTGTACCCATTTCTTCTATACCCATTTCGGGCGTCCAAATGGGGGGTCCAGAGGGTCCTGGGGGCCCAGGGATCCGAATTCGGGGGGGTCCTGAGTAATTGACATGTTGTGTGAAGAGGATCACATGTATACACGCACTCACTCTGACCCTGGTCGTAAACGCCCAGAAGAAGACGAGAACCTGAAGTCCCCACCGTACCATAAACCCTGGACCTGGATCCGGGAAACCAGGAGTCCGACCGCCCACCGAAATCGGCCAGGAACCCAAATCCAGGAGCCTTGGAGATACCGGCCGCCCAACGAAGTCGGCCCCGCCAGTTTTGCTTCTCAGTTTCCTATCGGACCACATCAGTGCAAGCATTGATTCGGGAACCACTCTCTGTTACCACTCTCTATTTTCTAACTCTTCACGCGTCGCGTATCCCCACTAGCCCATTCAGAAACGTTGCCCATGACAGCTGACCCGACAAGGGACGAAGAGACACATGCAGTGGAACAGAACGGGCAACCAGGGTGAACACAGAGATCTCTGGGAGCAAGGAGGTGTCCTTGGAGGGCCTCTTCAGGCCATCCCTGGGGCCCGCGTGCGGGCGAGGGAAGGAGGAGAAGGAGGAGGACGATGAGGAGGAGAAGGAGGAGGAGGAGGACGACGACGACCACGACCACGACCACGACGACGAGGAGGAGAAACAAACAAAAATAGACGATGAGGGCGAAGACAGCGGCGAGGACGAGAGCAAGTCAATAAGTTTTGCTTCTGGGGGCCCTCTTGGAGAGGCTCGTGGGGCCCTCTTGGGGTGCCTCGAAGGCTTCTTGCGTTGGGGACACCTTGGGCGTCTTCGACCGATCGTGCGGCGATTCAGGGTCCTCTTGGACTGTCCTGGGCGGCCTCTTTAGGCCCTCTTGGCCCGTCTTGGGGCCATCTTGGGCCCGAAAAAGTCACGCGACAAGCCGTGACGGGCCCCAGAGGGCACGCGGAGAGCCCCGGACGATTTGGCATTTTCGGGTCGGGGCCTCCTTATCAAAGAGTCCGCTGGATTGAGAACTGAGGCTTGAGAGATTAGGCCAAGGACCTGAGGACACTCCAACTCGTGCCGCAAGGGCACGGTGGCGGATATTCCGATGACTCAACTATGATAGGGCACTCTACTATATGATATGGACTCTTCACTCCTTACGATCGTATCTATAATTATGACCGTGGTCGCAAGGACCTGGGTTCATGGCCGCAACCAAGAAATCCAAGACCCTGGAACCTTACAACGCTGGGAACTCTGGACCCGGAAAAGAGAACCCGGGAATCTAGCCGCGGCCCAGATTCCAGAGCCACACGGGAGCCTGGAACACGGAACCCGGGAGCCAGGCTGCTTACCGCATCCAGCGCCGCACCGTTGCCCATTCTTGCAAGATCCGCTGAGACCCCTTCGGCGCAAGCATTGTTTGGGGAACAATGCAAAGTGATCGCGGGGCTCCCGCGCATGATGGTTGCCGGAAGGGATATCTAGTACTGTGGTTTGACACGGTGATGGGTCTGCACGCAGCAGGAAACATGTTGGCACCCCCTTTCGTCCGTGTCACAAAGCAGTGCAACATGATGGCTCGGTACCCGCGCATGATCCCGGCTTTGCCCCAACGTGCGATTGATGGTGTCGTTTGACAGGGATGGTTGGGGGCTGCTGGCATTGCACACAGCATGCAATATGTCGGCCCCCCCGCCGTCCCTGTCTAAAGCCCATGCAAAGTGATCGCGGGGCATCCATGCATGGTCCAGATTGTGGTGCCAAGTGCGTTTAGTACTTTTGTGACAGGGATGGTGGGGGGTGTTGGCATTGCACACACACAGCAGTCAATATGCGGGCCCCCCTCCCGTCTTTTCAAAAATCACTATAAGGTGATCGCGGTGCATCCGCGCATGATCCAGATTTGGAGGCAAAGTGTTTTTCGAATTATTTTGTGACTGGGATGGTGGGGGGGTGGGTTCATGGGTCAGGGTTGGCTGCCGGTCGGGTGGGGGAGGGGGTGTTTATTAACAGGGGGCAGTGGTTAAACTTTTCCCCGAAGGGGAGGAGGGACGATGGAAGAAGAAACGCCCGAAACCACCTCAGCCCAGAGGGAGGGATTCTGGCCTGGAGCGCGAACGCGTTGCATCATCCTACGTGTACTCTACAAGGGCTTGTGGCATCGGGAGCGCGAATGCGTTTTAACTTGCAAGACGTTGTGGCCCTGGGAGCGCGTACCCGGGAGCGCGCGTCAGCCATAATTTACTAGGGATTGTGGCGCCGGGAGCGCGCATTCGTTGTTTTCGATGTGTCCCAGAGCACCCAGAAAGTCCAAGGACGTGATCCGGGCTCCTTTCGGGCTGGCGGGGTCGCGCGCCCCACAACCCTCCAGCCTTGGAACGAGGAACAATGACTTGTAGTATTTGGGACCTTGGAACAGAGGGATTGCACTGGAACTGGTTCTGGGACCGAGTGGCTGAGGACATCTTCGCAGCCTGGTGACCCCCAAGGAGGCTGGCGGATATCCTCTTAACCTTCTATGGGTTACCCGCTTCGTAGATTGAGGCAAATTTCTCGCTCATGGTAGCATGCTCGCTGACAGGTTTCGCCAGTGTCTCGATTTTCTGGGCAAGCACGCTGGGGGTATCATCGGTGGGGGAATGCGCGGGATGCGCGCAACCATGCTGTTGCGTGTTCTCGTGCTTTGTTGTCAGGGTCTTCACGGTCTGAGCGTGCTCCGCCGCCCGCAGCTTCTTCCTCCACCCGCTTCTTTCTTTCTTCCCTTGTGCTCAATTCGGCTCCGATGCGACCTTCGGCTGTCTCGACCGCGTCTTGGACCAAAGCTCTCGTGCTGTGTGTTTCATGTCCGCCTCCGTCCTCGGGGCTCCGGCAAGAGGACGCGTGCCGCGAAAGCCGGGGCAAAGAGGAGAGCAGCGGCTGCAGAGGACGAGGACGAGGCGCGGCGCGGGCGGTCTGCTTTCCGAGTTGCACGTGGTGCCCACAGATCGGGGCGTTTGGGTGCGACTTCACCCAGAGGGCACATCAGCCAGGGCCGCCAGAGGGCACACCGGGTAGAGGCAACTTGAGGGTCTGGGGCCACGACGTCTGGGACCTCGAACAGAGTTTTGGCCTGCGGGCTGGACTTTTGTACCCCACTAGTGCTTGCGCTTCAAAGTTTTTCCTGTCTGGAGCTCTAACGGTGGACAATGCTTCTCCCCAGGCCACCCTTCAGGTCAGCGAGAAGTAGGACGATGATGACGATCGTAAATATGATGATGGTGGTCGTCGTGGTGGTGGTGACGACAGCGACAATGATGATTATGGTGATGGTGATGATGGTCATGATGGTGATACTGCTGCTGCTGCTGCTGCTGATGATTCCCCAATCAGAGCTTGCCTCTGTAGGGGTCCTAGCGGATTAAAGGGTTAGGTGAGGTGCGTCGCCGATTTCGGTGGCCGGGCCCGGGTGCCCGGGTGCCCGGGTGCCCGGCGGTGCCCGGGTGCCCGGGTGGCCGGTGAAGTGCGTGGCCGATTTCGGTGGCCGGGCCCGGGTGCCCGGGGGTGCCCGGGTGCCCGGTGGTGCCCAATAGCCCAATAGCCCAATAGCCCAGTAGCCCTATAGCCCTATAGCCCTATAGCCTTATAGCCGTATAGCCCTATAGCCCTGTAGCTCTATAGTCTTATATCCCTATAGCCCTAATAGCCTTATATCCCTATAGCCCTAAAGCCCCATAGCCCATATAGCTCTATAGCCCCATAGCCCTAAAGCCCTATGGCCCTATGGCCCTATAGCCCGATAGCCCTATAGCCCTATAGCCCGATAGCCCTATAGCCCTATAGCCCGATAACCCTATAGTCCTATAGCCCGATAGCCCTATGGCCCTATAGCCTATAGCCCTATAGCCCGCCCTATAGCCCGATTACAAAGGGAGCAATTGGAAGATTCAAACATCTGATTGGGGTTTTTCTCCGGTATCATTATGGGGTGGTAGTGGTCGGGAGGAGAAGGAGGACGAGGAGGTTAGGGAGGGGGTGGAGGAGAAGGAGGAGGAGGAGGAGAAGGAGCAGGAGGAGGTGGAGGGGGGGGAGATGGATGAAGGATGGGGGAGGGAGGGAGGGAGGGAGGGAGGGAGGGAGGGAAGGGTATGGGATGGTGGCAGGGAGCGGATGCGAGGGGGGGAGCGAGGCAGGGAGGGAGTAGAAGGAGGAGGAGGAGGAGGTGGAGGAGGAGGAGGAGGAGGAGGAGGCGAAGAACTTGCCCTGAATCCCGCACGGTGATGCCCGTGACGCGCTCATGGACCCTTGCGCCAGTCACCGTTCGGGTCCTGGGACCTACGCGGTGCGCGCGGCGACGTATATATTGGGGGATACCCAGGCGTCCAGGCGTCGCCAAACAAAGCATGACGGACATTGCCGCATTTTCTGCCGCCATGGGGCGTTTTTCGTATCCCACAAACCTCAGCGAAACTTAACGCAAGTTTTGCCGACCCCCCCTGCCCTCAATTTCAATGTTCCGTTGTGCGCGCGGCACGGGCCGCGGACGCCGACGACAATTGTTTCCCATGCCATCAACATTGGGATTTGGGGTCTTTGGGGGTGCCGACCCAAATGCAGAAGAACCCTCATATTATGTTGATGCATATGTTTTGTGGGCTACGCCGCTGGCATCATGAGGTGATGAATTATAATTGGGAGTGCGACGGTATAGGATGCTAGATGGGTCGGTTTGACCGTCTGGGCTGCTTGGCCCAGCTGGGGTGAGGGCTCTGGAAGGCTCTCTGGGCCACCGACTGGGCAGGCTTGGCTGGCTTAGATTGGTTGGGTCTGCCCGCCCGACCCTCACGGCAGGGTCGGGACGAGATGGAGGTGAGGACAGAAGAGGAGGGGGAGGGGGAGGAGGAGGAGGAGGAGGAGGAGGAGGAGGAGGAGGAGGAGGAGGAGGAGGAGGAGGAGGAGGACGGGGAGGGGAGGGGGAGGGGGGAGGGAGGAGGAGGAGGAGGAGGAGAGGAGGAGGAGGAGGAGGAGGAGGAGGAGGAGGAGGAGGAGGAGGAGGAGGAGGAGGAGGAGGAGGAGGGAGAGGGGGAGGAGAGGGGAAGGGGGAGGGGGAGGGGGAGGGGGAGGGGGAGGAGAATACGAGAGGGAAGGAAGAGAAAGCAGGACGACATGAGAGTACGAGAAGGAGACTGGCGGGGATGAATACTAGCGAGAGGAGGAAAGGGGAGGATGAGAAAAGAGCAACAGAGGATGAAAAGGGAGAGGCAAATCTGAGAGGAGAAGGGGAGACCAAGTCCAGGGAAACGGCCCAGGGAGACGGTGTCAGGGGAAGCGGTTCCAGGGAACAGACTTTGGTGAAGAGGATCTGCAGAAAGGGTTCCGGCGAACGGGTTCCAGGGATAGGCTCTATTGAAAGGATTCTCGGGCAATGGTTCTGAGGAAATGGTTATTGTTAAATTGTTTTCGAGGTGCACAGTCCTCGGTTAAAAAAAGGTTGTTCGGAAAGGTTAGGGGAGGCGGTTTTTGGGAACACGCTTTGGTACCGGACCACGACGAAATAAATGAAGAAGGGTATGATGACGAGTGTAGTGTGCAGCACCCATGGGAGCCAAAGCCGTTTGTGTTTTGAGGGATAGAGAGAGAGAGAGCGAGCGATGCACATATTTGTGTATATATATCTACGTATCATAGTGATATTGATATAGAGATTGAGAGACAGAGACTTAGACAGGGACACAGCCAGAGAGAAGTCTAATTACAGTAGCGATTGTCAGAAACAGCCACCGAGTTCCTTACGCGCTTGACCGCCACAGCACTCCCCCCTTCTTTGGGGCAGCGAGTCGCGACAACGCCCTCTCCCCCCCTGCAAGCTCTTGCAGAGCATCCCACACGACGCAGGAGCGCAGTACCGATTCTTGCGCGCGGCAAGCTCACACCCTCATCAGCCTGCCAGTGCCCTACCCTCACGCCCCCCCCCCCTGTGCCAGCCCGCCTCATCCACCTAATTACCTCGCCCCTGTCCGTTTTGGCTCCGCTGCCGATGCGCCCCTGCCCTTGCGCATCTGCCCCTTCCCCTGCCTGTCCCCTCCGCCTCCCCTCCCCTCCCCCCGCTCCCATCGCCTCTTCCCCCACACCGACGCTCCCTCCACTCGCTCCCCTCCCCTTCCCCTCCCCCCTGCTTCCCTCCCCTCCACAATTACACAATATGAAAATACTCTCCCACTTCCCCTGATGGCGTCCGGAAGATATTCGGCACCCCCCCGCGTACTGTTTTTTTACACACAGGATTCCCCGGAGTTGGGTTTTCGCTTGTGTTTTTTTTTTTTCTAAAATGCTGCTCTCGCTGAGGCGCCGGCCTCATTTCTGCTCCCGAATCGTTCCGAATCGTGCTCCCGCTCCAGCGTGGGCCTCATTTTCGGATCGGTGTTTGGCCTCCGTCGTTGAGGATGGCGTTCTCGCCCCAGCGCGGGCCTCTTTCTCGCGCGCCCATCCGCCCGCCACCACCGCGCCGCACCACCACCACCACCACCACCACCACCACCACCACCACCACCACCACCACCACCACCACACACCACCAGCACCAGCACCAGCACCAGCACCAGCACCAGCACCAGCACCAGCACCAGCACCAGCACCAGCACCAGCACCAGCACCAGCACCAGCACCAGCCACCCACCACCACCACCACCACCACAACCACGCACACACGCACGCACGCACGCACGCGCACCACCACCCACTACGCACGCGCGCGCGGAGCCACAGGTCCGCTACGACACGCGTCCGCGGATAGAGAAAATCAGCGCCATGGTAAGGGATGGGAGGGAGGGGTAGGACGTCAGATATGACGCGAGCGCACCTAGCTTGTCCCCTCCCCCTCCCCTCCCCCCTCTCCTGTTCCCCTTCCCCTCCCCTGCCCCCGTCCCCCTCCCCTCTGCTCTTCCCTCCCTTCTGCTCTTCCGCCCCCCCCCCCCCCCTCCCACCCCCCCCCCGCCCTGTTGGAAGCGGGGGCCCAGCCGCGAGGCCGAGGAAGAGGCAGACGCCGCGCGCGCCGCCGAGGAGGAGCAGGAGGCTCCCGGCAGCAGCGCGTGCGGCGAGGAGGACGCCGGGAGGGGAAGGGAATGGCCGGCTCGCGCCGCGGCGACGCGGCAGCGGCGGCCCCGCGCTGCGTCGGCGCGAGCGTTGGAGGCCGAGCGCCACCAGTGGCCCAGAGTCGGCGGGCATCGAGCTAGATCCGCGCGGTGTCGGAAGCCAGCGCCTTCGTCTTTGAGCAAGCAGCTGGCCACTGTTCGGGGGCTCTCGCGTTTTCTCGGGTGGTTTCTCCGGCCGCCTGAGGCCCCGCCCGCCCGCGCCCTGTCTCCCCAATCAGTGCTTCGCGCGCCCCGCCTAGCTCTTAACCGGAAGAGGCCCGCTCTCGACCCGCAGACCCCCCCCCCAAAAAAGTTTTCTCGGGTGGGCTTCCGGTGGCTTCCGAGGGCAGCGTGCTCTCCGGCAGGGGGCGCTGGTCGTCCCGAGGGGTCCTCCCCTGCCGTTTGCTGTCCGGCCGGGAGGCCCAGGCCTCGGGTGTCGTTGAGTGGGTCAGAGGGCGGCTCCAGGGCCTCCACCGCGGGCCCCGAGGCCCACGGCGCAAGAAGGCCCACGGCACAAGCTGCTGCTGATGGCAGTGACGACGATGACGATGCCGATGCCGATGCCGATGCCGATGACGATGACGATGGCGATGGCGATGATGATGATGATGATGATGATGATGATGATGATGATGATGATGATGATGATGATGATGATGATGATGATGCTGATGCTGATGCTGATGCTGATGCTGATGCTGATGCTGATGCTGATGCTGCTGATGATGATGATCATGATCATGATCATGATGATTATGATGATGCTGATTATGATACTGCTGATTATGATGGTGATAGTGATGATGATTGTGATGATGATGATGAAGATGATGATGCTGATGATGATTATGATGATGATGTTGATGATGGTTATGATGCTGATGATTATGCTGATGATGATTATGGTGGTGGTGGTGGTCGTGGTGGTGGTGCTGCTGATGATTATGATGGTGGTGGTGATGATGCTCATGACGATGCTGATGGTGGCGGTGGTAATGATGACGACGATGACGATGACGATGACGATGGCGATGGCGATGACGATGATGATGATGATGTTGATGCTGATGTTGATGCTGATGCTGATGATGATGATGATGATCATGATCATGATGATTCTGCTGATGATGATTATGGTGGTGATGATGATGCTGATTATGATACTGCTGATTATGATGGTGATAGTGATGATGATTGTGATGATGATGATGATGATGCTAATGAAGATGATGATGCTGATGATGATTCTGATGATGATGTTGATGATGGTTATGATGCTGATGATTCTGCTGATGATGATTATGGTGGTGGTGGTGGTCGTGGGGGTGGTGCTGCTGATGATGATGATGATGGTGGTGGTGGTGATGATGCTCATGACGATGCTGATGGTGGCGGTGGTAATGATAACGACGATGACGATGACGATGACGATGGCGATGGCGATGACGATGATGATGATGATGATGATGATGATGTTGATGCTGATGTTGATGCTGATGCTGCTGATGATGATGATGATCATGATGATGATGATTATGATGATGATGCTGATTTTGATACTGCTGATTATGATGGTGATAGTGATGATGATTGTGATGATGATGATGATGATGATGATGATGATGCTAATGAAGATGATGATGATGCTGATGATGATGCTGATGATGATTATGATGATGATGGTGATGATGGTTATGATGCTGATGATTATGCTGATGATGATTATGGTGGTGGTGGTGGTCGTGGGGGTGGTGCTGCTGATGATGATGATGATGATGGTGGTGGTGGTGATGATGCTCATGACGATGCTGATGGTGGCGGTGGTAATGATGACGACGACGATGATGATGATGCTGATGATGTCGATGATGATGATGATGATGATGATGATGATGATGATGATGATGATGATGATGATGATGATGATGATGATGATGATGATGATGATGATGATGATGATGATGATGATGATGATGATGGTGATGATGATGATGATGGTGATGACGATGACTCCTACTTATTCCTCTTCTGAGTCCGGGCCTCCCAGGGCCCCAGTGTACCTGGGGCCCACGGCGCGAGGCGGCCCGCGGGCACGAGGCGGGGGCTCGGGAGCCCCACAGGGCCCCACGCACGGGCGGAGGCCGGGACTCCTCGGAGGCCCGGGCTCCCGGCCCGGAGCCCGGTGGGCGTCGGTCGGCCAGGAGCGGGGCCAGTCGTCCGGGTCGGAAAAGACGAAAAGAGGGGGGTGATGACTAGAGGGGGGGGTGGATATCATGGCGGGGGCCATGATATTTCCCCAGATCTCATTCGCGCCTCTGCTTCTTTCATTACGTCCCTGGCCCCCCCGCTGGGCCGCGCACATGCCGCCGGTCATGATTTGCACCCCCCCCTCTTGGACACCCCCCTCTTGGCCGCTCCCGAGAGCCGGGCCAGTCGGTGTCGCCGAGCTCGTTCCACTGCTCGCAGAGTGCCTGCTCGCAAAGGTCAGAAGCACACACACGTCTGCTTTGGTGTAATCGATCGTAGGTCCCCCGCGGCGGATCCAGGCCATTTGCGAGCAGTCACTTTGCGAGTAGTGGAACGCGCTCGTCTAGTTGGGCTTATGCCCCCCTCGAAACCCGAAGGGAGCAGCCTATCACCGCCAACCAAGCCACCCCAACCCAACCCGAAGGCCCCGATTTGCCCTCCATTTCCAGTGAGGGGGTCGGGGAGCATTGAAAAGGCACCATACCCCCAACCCGAAATTCGGGTCTTCGGGTTGGGTTGGGGTTGTCTGGTAGCTGGGCAGCCTACATCCCCATCCAGGGAGGGTAACTCGGCCAGTGGGGCCCAGGCCACGCCGGTGGGGGCAGGGATCGGTTGATCGATGCTCAGAGCACGGATCTTGGTCGGCGTCGGTCGGCTGGGTGCCAGGCTGGAAAACCATGCCGTTCCCGAGGTTTGGGCCCAGAGCTGGGCCCTGAGGGGGCTTTGGGGCCGGAGGCCTCCACGATGGGAAGAGACATCGATTTGGGAGGCTTCGAGCTGCTCTGTTCGTTGGCGATTCGAGCGGCGGGAACTGTGCACGTGTACCGAGCCCGGCCAGGTTCATTTGGGCCCAGGAGCGGTGTCTCGTGCCTCCCGGTCAAGCCAGGAGGGCGCATGCACCACTCGTGTGCCCAGGTTGGACCTGGCCGGGGTCGTTGCGCGCGCACGGTTTTCGTCCTCCCCCTGGCGGTTGCCGTCCTCCCGAGGACAGCGAGGAGGACGAGGACGAGGGCGAGGACCGCCAGCCTCGGGCGGGCCCTGCCCGACGAGGCCGACCGTTGGGGCCTGTGCCTCCTCGTCCTCCCGCTCGTGCTGCTGCTGCTGCTGCTGCCGCCCCTCCCCTGCTCTCCTCCTCCCTTCGCCCTCCTCCCCTCCATTCGCCCTCCTCCCTCCTCTTATTCCACTGCTCGTCCTCCTCCTCCTCCTCCTCCTCCTCCTGATCGTCCTCCTCCTCCTCCTCCTGATCGTCCTGCTCCCTCTCCTCCTTTTTCTCCTCCTTTTTCTCCTCCTTTTTCTCCTCCTCCTCCTCCTCCTCCTCCTCCTGATCGTCCCCTCCTGATCGTCCTCCTCCTCCTCCTCCTCCTCCTCCTCCTCCTCCTCCTCGTCTTCTTTCTACTCCTCCTCCTCCTCCTCCGCCTCCTCCTCCTCCTCCTCCTCCTCCTCGCCCGCTGCTGCGGTTACTGTCTCGCGCATCCCGGATGCGCGTAGACGCGAGCTTTCAAGGTTGATGGACGCGGGTACGTACGATATGTATCAACTCGATCTGCTCAGTATCAATCTCGACGGATATGCCTATCTTCTGGTCGTCTGGCTACTCGTCCTATACCTACTCCGTGGTCTCTTCCGTATCCTCGGAGATGCCACGCCCTTGCTTTGTGACCTTCGGTTCGTTCTAGGACGTCTGTCACTGTCTTTCCTCATCGTGCTGTTCGTCGTACTGCTGGTCGACGTCGTCGTAACGGCTTTCTTCGTGCTTCACCTCGTACACGCCCCCGCCTCCCCCCCGCGGTGTAGCACTTCGTCCTCCACATCTACCCTCCCGCAGCCTTGCGTTCCTCCTCATAGTCCTCCTCCTGCTGTTCTTCGGCGTAAGCTTCAGCTGCTGCGTCTTCTCGTCGGGGGCCAGCGAAAGCCCAATGGGAGTGGGTTCCTCCATTGCTTTCCTGGCTACTTCGGCCATCCTGGTCTCCTTCACCTTTCTGATTTCTGACTTTCCAGCCTTAAATTTCCTGACTACCGCCCTAGCGACGTTTTCCTCGTGGCTACTTGCCGCGCCTTCTGGCGCTCATGGGGGTTGTGGCGTGTCTGTAGTCGTATGCGGCGCAGTCGATGCGGTTGTTGTCATTGGCATCGCAGTCGTTTTTGTAGCCAGGCTTCGTGCTTCGCGTAGGTGAATCTTGCCAGGGCCGTGCCATATGTTTGTGGCTCATATCCAAGTCCATCGCGCGCGAACGCCTCCTCGCAGATCGCAGTGAAGGTCATGTGGATCGCAGTGAAGATCCTGTAGATCGTGGTAAGGCGCACGTAGATAGCGAAATACACTCTGCCAGGAAAATTCCACTTCCGTAGCCGATGGCGGCCTCAGGGCTGGGGGTAGCGGTGCGGGCGCGCAAGGGGCCAGAATGGCCTTCCGAAAGGTTATCCTCCCTCATCGTTTTCCTCGTCCTCCTCCTCCTCCTCCTACTACTACTCGAACGGTGGATCTGCCTTCGTTTTGCCTGTTTTCCCGCCGCCACTTGGGGCTCACAGGAGCTCCTACCGTGGCACATTTTTTTGCGTGTTGCCAAGTACCACATGCCATCCTGATCCTTTAAGTCCAGTTGGTAGCGGAGCTTCGGTTCCCTTTCCACACGCCGCCATGGCCTACATGCCATTATCTCGCTGCCCTGTTTCGGAGGCAACGGCGCCCACACTCCATCGCGTTAGTGAACACCACCAAGGACAACCTCGTCAAGGGCCCGTGTTCGCTGGGCTCAACGGCTCATCGCGTTCGCGCTTTTCCACCCTGTCATCGCGGTAGGCGACGGCTCTCTAGGGACCGCCCGCCCAAGTGCCAGGTGCGCCCACGGGGGATGCGCACATGTACAATTACGAGAGTCGACTACGAAGACCGCGGCCCCATGCCGCCTCCTCTCTCGGCTCGCTCTCCTTGGCGCGCGCAGACTATGTATGCGCAGCTCGCGGACCCGACGCCCTCAACGCATTCGCTTGTGAGTGTAACCTTCGACGTCAGGCAGTTGCTTGACACAACGTTCACGTCTGCGGTGTTGGCGAAGGGCCCCAAATTTCCTGTGACTATGTCGCAGGAGGCCTGAGAGAAAGAGACAACGGACACGACGCTTCCATTGCATCCGCCTTGGCGTCTAGCCGAAGTTGTCATACAGTGGTTTGATACGACGTTCACATCTACAGCTTTGGCGAGGCGTCCCGAGCTCCTGGTGACAACGCTGCCAGAGCGGGGGGGGCTCATGCAGAGCAGAGCGATTGTATAATAGAGGGTTTGATGCTTGTGTTTTCAGCGTTCCTGGAGACGACGAAACGAATATGGGACTGCCCGTCTTCGATCCCCTGGAACATTACGTTCCACGTATCTCGCGCGCTCCCTGCTATCTGGCAGACCTGGATCCCGATACAGACTCCTCTGGACGATCGTGCAGTTGGTGGCCCAGCACAGTGGCGACGTGACGCATGACGGGCTTTCCCATGACGATGTTGCGGGGTGCTCCGGGTGCCGGCCGCGCCCCAGCCACGCTTCATAATAACATGCGCCATGCGCTGACGAGGAAGAGCATGCGCGGGACAGATGCCCACGGCGGCTCCGCGGCAGTCTACTTGAGCATCGCCGCTGGTGGGTTCCAGGACCCCAGCCCCTCCCTCGACATGGAGGGGGCTCCAATCCGGATGGGTGGCCATCGGAGTGGGCACGGTCGCTGCCGCTAGCTGCGTCGCTTTCATGGACGCTGGCAGAGGTGGCGGCGGCAATATGCGACGCCTCCGCAGCTGGGGGCCCGAGTGACAAGCTCGCGTGCCTTTCCAACGCTGGGCGCGGGAGGCCATGTTCTGGTCAGCGGCGAACTCCGATCTCAACGAGTGCCGCCAAGCGGCCCGCACCTCGTCTCGCCTTGCCGGCGCGGCGCGCGAGTGCGTCGACGCGCGGCCGCCAGTTGCCCCGACCCAGGGGGGCGACGTCAAGGGCAAACCAGTTCCGCTCATGACCTTAACGCACAGCCTGGCCGAATGGTTGGGCCAGCTGGGCAAGGAGGGGCGCGCGCGAGCGTCGTCGGCCCTGATGAACTTCAACCGATTGCCGTAGGAGCGCATCCCCACCAAGCCCATTCAGAAACAGTCTGTCAGGCGAGTTGAAGCGTTGTTGCGAGAGGTTCTCGGGGTTCTCTCGGGGGTTTTCTCGTGGTCCGCTCGGGGTCCTCTTGGAGCTCTTTTGGGGCCATCTCGGCGCCCTCTTTGGGCCGCGCGGGCGGGTCTGAGAGGTTTCTCGGGGCCGTCCTGGGCCCCGTGTCTCAGGGGGCGGGGGGTCATCAATTCAGCTCCCCAACTCATCGGAGGCTCAAGAATTGCCTCTTGGGGCCGTCTTGTGGGCGCTCCCGGGGTGTTCCTGGGCGCTCTTGGGGTCGTCTCAGGGCACTAGTCGGCCCCTTCATGGGCCTCCGGGCCGTCTTGGGGCCGCGTCGAGGCTTCGGGGGCCCGTCGGAAGCGAAACGGCGAGAACGCGCAATCATCAATTTCCCTCTTTGACCTCTGAGGGGGGTCCTTGGAGGGCCCGAAGGGGAACCATCTTTGGCCCGTCTTGGGGCATCTTCGATGCGCGTGGGGAGGGGGGGGGGCAATCTTGAGCCATCTTCAGTTATCTTGAGCCACCTTGAAGGCCGTCTTGGGCTCTCTGAGGCCCTCTTGGAGCCGTTTTGGGCCATCTTTGGCGCTCCGGTGCCACGCGCCCCCCCCTTCCAGGCCCAGGGGGAGGGCGCGGGAGGGGGCGAACCCGCCTCCGAGCAGGGGAAGGAGGGGCTGTGGAAAGAGAGAGGACAGAACTCGTTAAACAACCTAAGCACAGAGGGCTGGTGGGATTCACGATCGGCCACGAGGGACTCGGTTGCTTCTTGCTGCGCGCGGTGGGCGCGGCGAGCATCCAATTCGTCGCGATCTCGCAGCGCTGCGCGGTCTGCCCCGCGAACGCTCAGCAGCTGTCGCATCTGACGCGCCAGCTACGTCGGCTTGGGCATGATCGAGGGCTCGCCAGACAGACTCGCCTCGGCCGTTCGCTCGACCCAGCGCCGCGCGTTTCTCATGGGTGCGCCCGCGCAAGGTCTGGCTCAGAGTGCCTATGGCACTGCGGCCCGATCGAATCGGGGCGGCGCGGGCCCCGGTTCCTCGGGGGCCGCGCCGAGTTCACGCAGTCGCGGCCGCTGCCGAGCCCGGCGCGGCATCCTCAGCGTAGGTGGCAGACCCATCAGCGGGCGTCGACTCAGGCGCCGGCTCAGACACGATCTGCTTTTCGACGAATATACGGCTGCCGACGACCCCGAGCTACTCGACGTTCCTGTGGGGCGACGCGGCGCGCGCCTGTCTCGGGCTTATGAACGCGCCAAATCACGACGGCGCAGCTTCGACAGCCGCAAGCCCACCCGCCGCGCCCGGAGAGTCGTCGAACATCCGGGTAAAGGCCGCGGCAAGGGCTACCGCGCCTTCTTGGCCGGCATGTCTGAGAAAGACCTCCGGGAAACTTTCGCTGGCTTCGGGAAGGGCAAGGGTAATCGGAAAGGGAGGTGCAGGACCATTGGCATGGGCGTAGGCCGCCAAGGCAACCCACTTGGCCATGGCGGGGGGCGTCGCCAGCGTCGCGAGTGCGACTGCCCCCGGCGCCGCCGGCAAGGGCGCGCCCTCTTCCTCGGCGCCCAGCCGCAGCGGCGCCACCACCGCAACCGACAGCCACGCCACTTGCGCATCTGGGACATCTGGGAGCGCCTGGACCAGCAGCTCAGCAACCCGCACCAGGCGCGTGCGCAGTTTGGATAACAAGGGACACCTGGAACTCATCAGCCTGCGTCTACGGGCCCCCGCGATGGTGACCCCACGCAGAGCGCCGACCCCGGGAACGGCGGGCGGCCGACTCCAGCGACGGCGGCACCACGGCCGGCCGCAGCAGCGGCGCCGAGCGCTTCATTCGGCAGCTCGCGGCAAGCAGTGCCCCCAGCCGTTGGTCTAGCTGTGCGGGGGCTTCGTCTTCCTCGTCCTCTCCCAGCCCGTG